CCGTGTGTGGCTAAGAGTGACTGAATCCACATGTGGCTGTCACACGCCATGTGCCTGAAGTCGACGTGGTGTTGTGCATGTTAAGACGCTGTGCTTCCGTGATAATCAGCAAGCGGGCTGGGTGTGAGATGGTGGGTGCCAAAGAAGGACTGTCACAGTGTAGATATTTCACAGGAATTGACAGTGTGGGTGACAGGCTCTGATCCGCTGCATATGGTCCGTGTTCCCTGGGTCTCCCCAGCACCTCGGGCAGGCCCTGGCATGCAGGAGGCCTCGGTCACCATCGGCTGGGTGGGTGATGGCCAGGCTATCACAGACATTGGGAGACACCCGGTGTGTCTGCCTGTGATTGGCTGTGGGCTGGAGTCTCGGTGTGCTGGGCATTGTGACCCACTGCCCTCGTCTCCAGCTGATTGTGCTCTGTCCCTAGAAACCCGGGATCCTGGGAGACTCTCCCCTAGGCACCCTCCAGTCTGGGGCCCAGCCGGCCAGCCCCCTCCTCGGGGAGCTGTCTGCAGGTAATGCAGACCCTGCTCCTTCCCATCTCTGTGGGCCCCACCCCACTTCCCCTTCCTGGGCCCCTTTCCTCACTGGGCGTGGTAAATTCCCAGCTGTGCAGCTTTGGGCAAGTGACCTAACCCCTCTGGGTCTCAGTGTCCTCGCCTGTCGGTTGAGTGCGTGGGTGTGCACCTCCCTGGGGAGCCATGAACATCTGGGAGTTGATGCACTTTGAGGGTCCTGCTCAGTGTCCAGCACATAGTTGCCCCCCGGCTGCTAGCCCTGGTCCAAGCGGAGGCTGTAGGGCCCTGGGAGGAGGTGGCCTGTGTGGTCGGGCTGCTGACACCCTCCTCCTCTCTGTAGGAGGGGGCCTGCCCCCGGAGCTGCCGCCCCGGCGAGGGAAGCCACCACCCCTGCTGCCGCCACTGCTTGGCCCCTCTGGGGGTGACCGGGAACCCATGGGCCTGGGTCCCCCAGCACCCCAACTCACTCCACCCCCTGCTCCTGTGGGGCTTCGAGGCACTGGTCTCAGAGGCCTGCAGAAGGACAGTGGGCCTTTGCCAACGCCCACTGGGGTAAGGCCCTGCCTGCACCCAGCACCATTCCAGCCCCCTGCCTTGCGAGGGCCCCCCTGCCAGGGGCCCTCGTGAACCCGGCCCTCCTGCCACAGGTCTCGCTGCTGGGGGAGCCTCCCAAGGACTTCCGGATCCCCCTGAATCCCTACCTGAACCTACACAGCCTGCTCCCAGCCAGCAATCTGGCGGGTAAGGAGGCCCGGGGCTGGGGAGGCGCTGGGAGAAGCCGCCGCCCAGCTGAGGGCCCCCTGCCTAACCCCCCAGCCCCTGGAGGTGGTGGCAGCAGCAAAGCTTTCCAGCTCAAGTCCCGCCTGCTCAGCCCCCTCACCAGCGCCCGCCTGCCCCCCGATCCAGGGCTGCCCGACAGCTATGGCTTCGACTACCCCTCAGTAAGTACCTGGCCGCCCTGGGGGCAGCCCTCCCAAAGGCCGGCTGCTGTGGCCCTTTGTCCCTTGGGAGCAAGTCACTCTCCAAACTGACATTTCTCTAGTACTGATTGTGACAGGCCAAGCGTTAGGGAGACAGCAGGGAACGTGCTGGACACAGTCCCTGCCCTTAAGTCTCTCGTCTGTTTGTCTCTGCGCATCATCAAACCCTGCTTCCTGTCAGTCAGTTTTTCTCTCCCGAGAGGCCTGCAGCCACACCTCTGCTTCTCCTTAGAGACAGGGCTCAGCCTCCGCTCTGTCTCTCTGTCCTTCTCCCCCTCCTCCCCTCTGTGATTCATGTCTCTGTCCCTGGAGAGCTGCTCTTTCTATGATTCCGACTTCCTCTAGGCCCGACGTTGTAGGCTGGCCACCTGTGTTGTGTTTGGCCCACAGTGGGTTTTTTAAAAAATAACCGAAATAAATGCCAGTGCCAACATAAAAAAAATCACAGGAGTTCACACAACCTGGATGCCCTGCTTGCCTTGAGAACTCCAAAGCCCTGGCTCCATTGGGGCCACACACTCTCACAGCCCTCTGGGGTCCAGGTACAGTCACCCCCCTGGGACTGGGTACCTATTCTGTCTCATTGCCCCACCCTGCTGGCTGAGTTTGCCCCTATACACTAGAGTTTGCCCTCTCCTGGAGGGGGCTGACTTCCCCGGTGACAGCTGTGCCGTGGAATTGAATCAAGGGTGAGGTTGGTTACAGACCCCAACCCAACGTGCTTCTCCCACTTTCATTCAGGATGTGGGACCTCGGCGGCTCTTCTCCCACCCGCGGGAGCCAACCCTCGGGCCTCATGGACTCAGCCGACACAAAGTAAGAGCTGCCCTGTCCACCCTACCTCCTGGGTGTATCAGTTAGCTTTTGCTGCATAACAAGCAATTCCACCACTTTGTGACTTAGAACAGCAAATATTTTATTATTTTCTCACCATTCTGTGGGGTGGTGGGTGGGCAGTTCTTTGCAGTCACCTGGCAGTTCAGCTGGGGCTCAGCAGTCCATGGTGGCTTCCTTCATATAACTGGCAGTCAGTAGGCTGGGGAAGAGCCTCGGCTATAGTGATTTATCTGCTCCACATGGAGCTCATCCTCCAGCAGGCCCCCCTGTGCTCATGCATGTGGTTCCCTGGAGGAGGGTTCCCCAGAGGAGGAAGGGAGGGCAGGCCCCTCTGCTGGCATTGTCACACCACTGTCGTATTGTCCAAAGCCCAGAGTTGTTTGGGGGACAGAAGGGGTGATACTGCAATGATCTGTCTTACTCAACCAGCCCCCTTTCTGCAGATGTCCCCCCCACCCAGTGGCTTTGGCGAGCGGGGTAGCGGAGGTGGCAGTGGGCCCCTCTCCCACTTCTATTCGGGCTCACCCACTTCCTACTTCACCAGCGGCCTGCAGGCTGGCCTCAAGCAGAGCCACCTTAACAAGGTGAGGAGCCTCCCTGACTGAGCACAGGTCCCCAGGGACAGCCAGGATGCACGGGGGCCTGTGACCTTCAGCCCCAAGGCCAGGGTGGTGGCAGGGGTCAGTTTTGCTCAGGGCCGAGCTGAAACAAGCCATTCTCCCTGAGCCTGTGTGTCTTGTACCCAGTATTGCCCAGGCTTCTTGGCCTCTTACTTCCTCCCCCGGCAGTCCAGGGTGTGGGTGGTATAGCCTCAATCTACAGATGAAGAAACTGAGGCCCAGAGAGATGAAGTAATCTGACCCCAGTCTCATAGCTAGTAAGTGGCAGCAGCAAGATTTGAACCTGAAACCCTTGCCTCTGCTCTGGGGGCTGCTTGCTTTCCCATCCCACATCTCTCCCATTTCTCCCAGGCGGTCGGCTCCTCCCCACTGGGCTCTGGAGAAGGGCTCCTGGGCCTCGGCCCTGGGCCCAATGGCCACAGCCACTTGCTGAAGGTACGGGCGAGGGGTGGGGACACTTGGCTGGGGAGTGGTGGCCCCTGGGTGGCCCCTGACCCGCCACCCCTTCCCCTCTGTCTCCAGACCCCACTGGGTGGCCAGAAACGCAGCTTCGCCCACCTGCTGCCCTCACCCGAGCCTAGCCCAGAAGGCAGCTATGTGGGCCAGCACTCCCAGGGCCTTGGAGGCCACTACGCAGATTCCTACCTGAAGCGCAAGAGGATTTTCTAAGGGGCCAGTGCTGGAGATGCTCAAGGGCCTGCACCAAATCGCTTTTGGGTTTTCTGGTGTTTTGTCTTGTGTTATTTTTCTTTTTTTTCTTTTTTTCCTTTCGGTAATAGAAAAATTTCTGAAAGACTTTGCTGACCAACCAGCAGGAGCCCAAGGAATGTAGGGGCGTCTGGGAGCCACTCTGCACCTCTGGCCTGCTCCCAGTGTGGAAACCCTGCAGCCTTAAGAGGGAGAGGCCATGGCCTGCTCTCTCTCCCCACCCCTGTGTCCGCCTGTGTTCGTCTCTCTGGGAGTTCTCTCCTGCCTCGTCGCTCCTGTATCTTGGCCTTTCGAGTGCCTTGGAGGTTCCCCTGACCTCCCGTGAGGATCAGAGACTGTCCCCCTTTTTTAACTTTGACAGCTGACTTTGGTTTCCTTTTCTAATTTTTATTATTTTTTAAACAATCCAGGACGACCCCCAGCTCTGATTCCTTCAAGGCCCAGCGTGTCTGGGCCTCCATTCCACACTTTTCGGTTTGAGATGGCTCAGCCCTTTTTTCTGTTTCCCACAACTGCTGCAGGCATGGCTGTCTCCTGCCCCTGCCTGCCCTCTCTGAGCTGTACTCCAGGTCCGGGTCCCCCGCCCCCTACCGCAGCCCCCTCGCCTTCTGATGCCTTAAAAGCCAGGCTCCAGGCCCCAGGCCCCGCTGGCCAGAGCCTCTCAGATGCTGAGCTCCGGAAGCTTGACTCAGGACCAAATGGCTCTGGCCTGGGGATTGGGCCCCTCTACCCGCGGTCCCCCATCGTGGGGACAGTAGAAGGCCAAAGCCTTGGTCTTGGCAAACCAGTCCCACCAGCCCTTCTGCTCAGGCTTAGGTGCAGGGATGGGCTTTCTCTGCCAGCTTAAATTGGTCCCCCTGCTGTCCGTCTGTCAGGCATTGTGCATCTCACTGAGCCTCTGCTGTCTCCTCCATGTTGAAGATGAGCTCTGCCTCTTCATCCCCAGGCTAGATCACCCGGAGCTGGCCTCCCTTTGGCCCAGTGCTAGAAAATTCAACAACATGCCAATAAGCTCTGCCCCTGCCCACCATAAGGACATGTCAGCCTGAGGTGACCCTGGGCCCTGGTCCTGGCCGGCTGGGCCACCAGCTTCCCTCCCCTGACTCTGGGGGTCCACATCCACTCCGGGCCGGGGGGGTGTCCTCTCCCCAGTCTTCTCACACAGACCTTTGCTGAATTAAAGTTTGTAAGTAAATTGTTTTAAAGAAAGCAGACCTGTCTGGTTCTTGGGATAACAATTGGCCTGGTGGGAGGTCCGGGAAAGCCCTGCAGGTCTTGGTGCAGCCGAGCCTGCCCGGCTCCTCACTCTGGCAGCCTCCTCCTGGACTCACTTCTGTCGCACGCCCCCACGTAAAAATGTCGGCGCTTATGTTCGGGCAATTACGGGCCCATCTCTCTCGGGTGCGCCACGGCGCATACTTCGTCTCTGGGTCACATGATGCCTGTCATGGCCGCCTCCGTGGCCTGGGGAGGCGTGAATGCTGGGTTCCTGCTGCGGGCGGCCAGGGGTGCCTGGTGGTGCCGACCCGGGGGCTTTTGGGGGTCCGGGGAGGCGGCGGCGGCGCCTGTGACAGCCAAGAAGTTCCGGGCGACAGGTACCTGGGGCGCTTCGGACGGGCAGCGTTAACCTGTTGGACGCCGGCCGGGCGCGGCATGGCTGCTCACCCAACCGTGTTTTCTAGGCTCGCGCCCGGCGGGGGAGGAAGAGGCCGGCGGCCCCGAGCGGCCCGGGGACGTGTGAGTGTGGGAGCCAGGTCCCCCATTACTAATTTCACGAGGTTTCTCCGGTCCGCACCTTGCCCTACAGCCTCATCCCTGGGTCCCCCTTCTGTATCACCCTAATCCCCTGTCCATCAAGCCCCAAACGCGACTCCCTAATCCTAGATTACACCTGGTCCCTGTGCCCATCATCCAGTTCGTCATCTGCACCCCGATCTGTCCCCAGGGTGAACGTGGTGTTCGTAGACCGGTCAGGCCAACGGATTCCGGTGAGCGGCAGAGTCGGGGACAATGTTCTCTACCTGGCCCAGCGCCATGGGGTGGATCTGGAAGGTGGGAGCCGGGCACAGGGAACTGGGGAGGCCCGTATTCATTCGTTAAAAAAAACCCATAAGTCAGATATGATTTTCCACTACTTAACCCTGCATGGCTTCCCACCAAACACGGGTAAACTTCAGACTCCTCACCACAGTCTCATTCCCTGCCTCTTAACCTTCATTCATTCAGCAGTTATTTATTGAGCATTTGCTAGAGGTTAGTAAAACTCCTGCCCTCCAGGAGCTTGTATTCTCTTCCTTTTTCCTCCCTCTCTTCTAGCCACACTGGCTTTCTTGCTCTTCTTCAAACAGCCCAGTTCATGCCTGCCTCAAGGCCTTCGCATTTGCCGTTCCATCAGAAGTGCTTTCCCACCAGATCTTCTGGCTCCTTCTCATCCTTCAGGTCCCGATGTAAATGTCATCTTCCTGACAGTCTTGTCCCCCTCGGTCCAACTAAAGTCCCCATGCCCCGATAACTGTCATCTCAGTGTGTTTTATTCTCTGCGTAGCACTTCTCATTGTTTTGTTTCCTTCTTTGCCATCTCTCCCCAGAATCAGATCAGAAACCCTGTTTGCCTTGTTCACACTTATCTGTTGCCTGTCATGGTATTTAGACGTAACAGGTATTAAATCAGTATTTGTTAGAGGAAATACAATAATAGCAGACATTACTTTAAGCCTGTTAACACATATTAACTGATTGAATCTATTCCATGAAAACTTTATGCAGGAGGGGAGAATATTATCCTATCTTATAGGTGAGGAAACTGAGCCTCAGGTCGAGCAGACCTGGTCCAAGTTCAAGTAAGTGGCAAAACTAGATTCAAGCAAACCCAGCCTATTTTAGCCACTAATCTGTGCTGCTCTTCTATGAATATTGAACACTTACTGTGTGCCAGGTAGCAATGTAAAAAACAGATAAGGCCCGTGTCATTTCACACCAATTTCAACCTAATAGGGACAATAATCCCATGCATAAACATGTAATTATATCATGAGCAACTGGGAAGAGCAATCTTTTAAAAAGTGTACAGGGGGCTTCCCTGGTGGCGCAGTGGTTGGGGGTCTGCCTGCCGATGCAGGGGATGGGGGTTCGTGCCCCGGTCCGGGAGGATCCCACATGCCGCGGAGCGGCTGGGCCCGTGAGCCATGGCCGCTGGGCCTGCGCGTCTGGAGCCTGTGCTCCACAACAGGAGAGGCCACAGCAGTGAGAGGCCCGCGTACCGTAAAAACGAAAGCAAAAACAAAAACAAAAACAAACAAAAAAAAAGTGTACAGGGTTAGCTGTTGGGTGTATGTAATAGGGAGCTGATTTAATCATTAGACGGGGAGAGTTGTAGGAATGTGTGTGGGGGGCGTGGGGGTCATAGCAAACCTACCTAAAGTTCTGTTCTGGAATCCAGTGATTGGCAGTTCATGACAGAGATTAGAACATGAATTTTCAAGGCAAGTGGGCTGTGTTCAGATTTTGCTGTTGCCAACTGTGTGACCGTGAGCAAGGTCCTTAGCATCTCTCGGCCTCACTTATAAAATGGGATATTTTAGTTCCTATCTCACCAGATTGCTGTGAGGATTAAACAGATCTCATGTGTAGTGTGTAGTACCTGGCATATAGTTGGTGTGCAGTGAGTAGCTGGGACGATTACATTAGATAATCTCTGTCTCATGGGGTAAGGACGCCAACGAGTTGGGAAAGAGGGCTGAGGAAGAGATGCCTGGGAACTACTGGCAGTTTCGAGGCCCAGACAGTTTCTTCCCCAGAGACTGGAAGGGTGGGCAAATTAGTCACCATAGCCCACAGGGATGGTCTGCTGGTTCAGGAGGCTGCCTTGCAGCACCACCCTTATTGTCCGACATGTCCGGAAGAGAAAAGAGAATTCTGTCCCGTTCACTTATAACAAGTATCTCTCGAGCATCTACAACCTGCCAGGCTCAGTGCTGAGTACAGAGAGAAGAGGGCAGGTTGACAGAGCACAGGTAAACCCAGAAATTATGATGGTAATTTCACACTGATAAATACTGTCCAGAAATTATTTAAGAGATAACAAGGGTCAGGGGAAGGACAAGAAATGGGGCACTTGGAGGACAGTTGAGTCCCCAAAGACAACAAGGATGTAGCCGTGGAAGGAGTGGAGAGAACAGCATTCCAGATCAAGAGTATGGAAGATGCAGAGGTCCGGTGGTGGGGATGAGCTTGGCATGGAGGAGTTGAGTGAGGGGGCCGGTGTGGCTGAAGTGGGTGAGTGTGGGGGTGGGAGCATCTCAAGGACTGAGTGAAGGAGTTTGGGTTTTATTCTAGCTATAAAAACCCTTTGGGGGAAAAAAAAAAAAAAAAAACCTTTGGAAGGCTTTAGGCCAGGAGGAACATTATTCCGGAGCACAGTTCCCAGTGATCAATCAGAAGGTTGGGAATGTGTCCAGGGGCAAGCAGGAAATCCCAGACTCTCCAATCTTCCAACCCTTATTCCCTAACCCCTTCCCCTGCTGCAGCATTAGATGCGGAGTGAGCCGGTCCCTCCTTCAGCAGCAGCAGGGAAGCCCAGCACAGTGGCAGGGTCGCAGCAAGGGCCCACAGGCTACAGGAAACCTGCCTGGCCTGTCCCCTCTCAGCTACACTGAAGTCAGGTCCACGCTCATTAACGGTTCCAGGTATCCAGCCTGGTCCTCAGCCTGCTGGGGAGTTTGGGGGAAACCCCGGGCGTCCTTTTGCAAAAACTATGTGCAGGTCGGGAACAGCCAGCTAAGTCAATGACAGGGTGGGTGGAGGGTGCCCACAGTGGGCGTGCAGGCCCGGGAGGGAGAAATGAGGGTCGAGTGGTGAAATGAAGGGATTCTTGGGAATTCCCTGGTGGTCCAGCGGTTAAGACTTGGCTCTCACTGCCGTGGACCTGGGTTTGATCCCTGGTCGGGGAAATAAGATCCCCAAGCCATGTGGTGTGGCCAAAAATAATAATAATGATAATAAAGAAACAAAGGGATTCTCCTTTATGTCCTTCACTGAATGGCACCTGCCTGACCACTCCCCTTACCAATGCTCCCTCACTTGCTGCCCCCAGGAGCCTGTGAAGCCTCCCTGGCGTGCTCCACCTGCCACGTGTATGTGAGCGAGGACCACCTGGACCTTCTGCCTCCTCCTGACGAGAGGTGAGCAGGGGGGCCCCTCCCAGCTCTGAGCTGCAGGGCTTGGTTGCTGAGCCTTCGCGTTCCGGGTGTCCAGAGTTTCACCCCGTCAGCAGCAGAGGGCAGCCCCAGCTTTTCTCCCTGCTCCTGCTGCTGGCAGGAGAGCTTCCTTTCTGGCCACTCCCCCAGACCCATTAATAATCGCTGCCCCCCTTGCTCCAGGGAGGACGACATGCTGGACATGGCCCCCCTCCTCCAAGAGAACTCCCGGCTGGGCTGCCAGATTGTGCTGACACCTGAGCTGGAAGGGGCTGAATTCACCCTGCCCAAGATCACCAGGAACTTCTACGTGGACGGCCACGTCCCCAAGCCCCACTGACACAGGCAGCTGGATGGTCCCAGACACTCAGGGCCCCAGGGCCAGGACTGGAGGAATAGCCAAGTTGCCAGCCCCGCCCAGAGCACGAGACAGGCCCGGGAGAGATGGCGGAAGCAACCGGAAGGCCAGAACGCGTGCTTCAGAGAGATCCCACGTCCAGGCTCTGGTGGGGACAGGGCCCCTGTTGGGGCAGCCTCCCCCAAACCCCTGAAAATGGGGGTGTGGACAGGGGTGGAATCTAATCGGAGAGATAATAAAACCGGCTCACAGACTTCCGGCATCTTGAGTGTCCTTGCGGGGGGTGCGGGTGGGAGTACAGGCCCTGGGGTCTACAACTGCAACTTCCAGGCCTCCAGCTTTCCCCTCCCACGGTGGTGATGGGCCAGCGGGAAACTGAGAAAGAGGCCTCAGAGTGAGGGTCCGCGAGCCTGAGGATCAGCGTGGCAAGGCCCCGCCCCTCAGCCGCGGAAGGATTTGGAGGGGTCCAGGCTGCTCTTGGCCGAAAGGGGTGATCAGGCCACCTAAGCAGGGTCGGAAGGGAGAGAGGGACGGAGGCTGGCCTGAGGGTGGAGGCTTCGAAGCCCGTGCGCAATATCGAAGGCCAGAGGAGCCCGATCCCACTGGCCCCGCCCCCCTCAGGTGGAGCTCCTTGCACCCAGGGCCAGAAGCGCCCCCGCCCCAAGCAGGTGGGGCTCATCGGGTGGGCCCGGCGTGGGCGGGGCCGGGCGAGATTTGGGAAGTGGGTAAGGGCTGGGGCGCAATGGAGGCCGAGCCAACCCCGGACTTGTCGATGCTTCGAGAGCTGCTGGCGCCGCCCTGTCTGGACCCCGAACCGCCCCCGGAACTCGCCACCCAGCAGGCACCAAGGACCCCAGGATGCCTCAGACCCAGTGGCAGGTGCGTTAAGGAGCAGCCCTTCCCCCAACCTGGCCCAGTGGTCAAGGGATCATGACCTCTGGTTCCTGGGGTTACTCAGGGGTCAAAATGTTAGTTCCTGGTACTTACAAGGAAGAGGTCCCAGTCCCCAGGGATACTTGGAGTCATATGGGAGTCAGAGGCTATACAGTTCTCCTTGCCCCCTGTGTCTGAGACTCATGTAGGTACCGCCCAGGGAGTGGGGTGACCACACTGCCCCTTGTCCCCAGATCCTTCTGGCCTGCACACCAGGACTCGGTCACCGCCCTTCACTTCCTCCAAGAGACAGCAGAGGGGCTGGCCCAGCCCGCCACCTGGGACACTCAGGCCCTAGGGCCCTGCTGGGAGCCGAAGGCCCTGGAGACTCTGGGAGCCCTACCTCTGGCCAAGGATACCAAGAACATGCTGACCCCAATCAGCCAGCAGAGCCGCAGCCTGGGGCCCCGAGTGGCTCCCCCGGCCTCTTCAGCCCAGCCACAGAGGAGACCCCGGAAGCAGTCGAACCCCCAGCGGAGCGCCGAGAAAGTGGACCCCCAGTTCGAGGGGGTGACCCTGAAGTTTCAGATAAAGCCAGATTCCAGCCTACAGATCATACCCACCTACAGGTAGGGGCTGGCCTGAGCAAGGGCACCCTTTATGCAAGTAATAGTGGTAACAGTGCAGAGGCCCGGGGGCAGGTGCTCCCAGGAATGCCGTCATGGACTCCCACCTCAGCCCTGCCTTACAAATGGCCCCATCTCTGAGCGAGACCTCAGGCTGGTGTCAGTCCCTGTCCCTGCTGCTATGAGCCAGTCACATCCAGGTCTGAGCCTGGGTCTCCTCCTAAGAGGCCTGACCATACCCGGGGCTGCTGCTTCTGTTAGTTGTTCCAGCAATGATAATAGCTACCGTTTGTCAGACATGACAACAGTAATAGAGGTAACAGGTAGCACTTGGTGTGTATGGGCTCGCTGAACCCCGTGAGGCCCACTTTACAGATGCAGAAACTAAGGCGCAGAGGATGAGATCTCTTGTCCTTGGTCACACGGCAAAGACGTGGGAGAGCTGAGCTTTCAACCTGGCAGGCTGAGGAATTCCCTGGCAGTCCAGTGGTTAAGACGTGGACTTTCACTGCCGTGGGCCGGGGTTCAATCCACAGTCGGGGAACTAAATTCCCACAAGCCGCTCGTTGCAGCCAAAAAAAAAAATAGCAAAACAAAACAAAAACAAACCTGGTAGGCTGGCCCCAGGCTTACTGTCTTTTCAAATGATTATGTCTGTGATATTAATGAGGTGCAAGGCCAGGCCTTTCAGACATCAGATGCCTCCTTGGGGGTTGCCTGATCATAAATCTTCAGTTGGGGGCTATCTGGGACAGCATACAGACAGACCCTCGGTGCTAACACCTTGTCTACTCCCCAGCCTGGCCTGCAGCACCCGCTCTCAGGGTCCCCCACCAGGCCCTGCCAGAGTCCCAGAGGCCAACGCAAGAGGCAGCGAGGGTCTGGGTGAGTCCTGGAGACTTGAGAGCTATAAATACTTGGGGGGGGGGGTACAGTTTCATTTCTTCCTTGTCTTTCTCCCCATCCCGCTTCCCTATTTAGACCCATCCAGGAGGAGTCTCAGCATCCCCCTCCACTCAGGCTGAGTCACCCACACCCCCGGCTTCTTCCTCTGCTGAGCTTTGCCATCTGTCTCCCTTCTTGGCTTTCCCTCTGTCTTAGACCTGGCAACACCGGGGCTGGCCCGGAGCTGGGTGGGGCCTTCACAGAGACCCCACCCCGCCAAAATGCCCATCCCACACAGGCCTCCTGAGCTCGGATTCTTGGCCTCTGACCCTTGCCCTTTGGCCTCTTCCCTTTCAGGGCCCCGACGCTGTGCTTCCTGTAGGACCCAGAGGACCCCACTCTGGAGAGATGCAGAAGATGGGACCCCCCTCTGCAACGCCTGTGGTATCAGGTCCTCAGAACGGAGGAGGGATTTGGGGTGGGGTCCTCGCATCAGTCCATGCTTAGCCGGTGTGGGGTTTGGGGAAGAGAAAACACCCACCTCTTGGGGAACGTGGCTCACTCGTGGTGATTTCTGGGCCCCTGCTGAATGTTGGTTTCTTGCACCCCCATCCCAGGTACAAGAAATATGGCACCCGCTGCTCTAGCTGCTGGCTGGTGCCCAGGAAAAGTGTCCAGCCCAAGAGGCTGTGTGGCAGATGTGGGGTGTTGCTGGGTCCCCACCCAGTCCCACCTCAGGAAGGGTAAGCCTTTCCTCACCCAGCCGAGCCTGTCCTGCCTCAGTTTCTCCAGGGGAAGAACGGGCTGAAGGCCTCCTAGGGGAAAGAATTGGGTCTTGAGGGGTGCAGCCTGCCTCCTCTCTGCCCCCTCCCCATTCAGAGACGCCAGGTGGAAGACCCAGGCCTCAGGCCCCAGAGCTCCTGGCTCACGGGGTCACTGGCCCCCTCCTTGGCCCCTGCTTCAGCCAGGCTTGGCTGGGCACCTCACCCCCTCAGGAAATGCTCATGGCTGTGAAACTCATATTGTTAATAGCAGTGACAATAAAGAGCAAAACTTCTCAGATAAAGGGCACTGTGACTTTGGGATCCCACCTTGCGCGCTCTCCCCCGCCTCTCCCCTGGCCCAGGAATGTGGGGAAGGGGTTTTCTCAGTGGGGTTCTGAGGGACACACACAGTCATGTAGACAGGCACCACCTGGGAATTAGCCACATTCATTACAGCACCCCATACAGGGCGACAGCCACCACATGCAGAGACAGGCAACACGTTCAGAAAGATACACACAGTGGGACATCCCCGGGGGTCCAGTGGTTAAGACTCCCCGCTTCCACTGTAGGGGGCACAGGTTCAATCCCTGGTCAGGGAACTAAGATCCCACATGCCTTGCGGCACGGCCAGAGACGCATCAGCAGACACATATGTGCCGACAATCACGAGACACACAGACCACACACAAGACAGCAAGACATTGACAGACGCACATCCACCAATAGACACGTGTTGATGTACACACAGGACACATACACATGCACGATACAGACACACATGAAAGAAACATAGGTGGCACAAGTTGGCCCACGGTGATACACAAGTGGGCCCTTTATCTGGCAGCTCCACCCTTGCCTAGAGAATGTCTCCGTCCTGCATCCTTTCACACACCAGTCCCTACTGTGTCCCCTCCTCCCTTTCAAGATCTCTCTAACCCCACCAAAGTGTGTCCCCAACCTGAAGCCAAAAGCCACATGGGAGACGCTGAGCTCTACACCTGTTGCCAGGACACACAGGCCACCACTACTCACTGGGGGGAGGGAGGGAGGAGGGGGGCATCAAGGATGGGTGAGATGCAGAGTGGGCAGGGGTGGTCCCTGCTGTGAGGGGTGAGTGAGGCCTGCAGGTCCACTGGCCCTGGGAAGGCGAGCCCCTCTGAGACCCCCTTTGACTCTCCTGAGTGAGCCTGTGGGGAAGGCTTGGGTCCAGATTCCTCAGCCCTCGGATCCCTGACTCATTCAGTACCCCCCTTGCTTGGCTCAAAACACCCTCCCCCAGGTCTCCCGTAGCTGCTGCCTTTCGCATCACTGGAGTGGGGGTGGGCTCTGCCCCAACACCACATCTTCAGAGACCCCTTCCTTGACCCCCCCCCAGCCTAAAATGGACACCCCCCCTGCCACCCCACGTCAGGCTCTAGTTCAGCTCTTTGCTCATCTCTCCCTTAGAACCTACCAGAAGTTTCACCTCACTACTGGTCCAGGGTTATTTCATCCACATTCATCTCCCCTACTGGACCATGACTTCAGAGGTCCAAGGTCACCACCTCTCTGTTCTTGACCGTGATATGCCCCCCCCACCACCACCAGTGCCCAGCATGGAGAAGCTCTTTGGGGAGAGACACAGCACACGAGGGTCTCAGACTGTGTGTCTACAAACCCCTGGCTGTTTTTATCGACGTAGTCAACATTTATTGACCAACCACTGTGTGCCAGGTCCCAATGAGGCACTCAGTTATGAATGGAACAAAGATCCCTAGCAAAGCCAATATTCGAGAGTGACAGGAAACAGGTATTCAGTAAGTATCTAATAGAATGTCAAGTAGTGCTCACGCTACAGAGAAAATAAAGTATGTAAGGAGGTGAGGAGTTGGGCTGCTACCGTGTTCTCAGGGAAAGCCTCTCTGAGCAGGTGTGACCTTTGTGTAGAGACCTGACAATAAGGAACTAGCTGGGAATTCCCTGGCGGTCCAGGGGTTAGGAATCCGCGCTTCCACTGCGGGGGGCACGGGTTCGATCCCTGGTCAGGGAACTAAGATCCCACATGCTGGCAGTGCGGCCAGAAAAAACAAAGGAACTATTTGAAATGAGGACACCTGGGGCAGAGGAAATGGCAAGAGCAAAGGCCCCGTGGCAGGCAGGAGTTTGGGATTCACGGAACCTCAAGGATGCGGGTGGGCAAGGAGAGAGGTGATGGGGGCCGGACAGCAGGGGCTGCACCACGTTTGGGCCTTGTGGCCTTTTGTACCTGGCACCTGGCACTGGCTTAGCCTCTAGTGCCCCAGTTTCCTGCTCTCACTTTTGCTCCCGAAATGTTTGTGGGGGGCAGCCGGTGGAGCTGGAGCAGTCCAGGCCCGCTTCCTTCTGGCAGCTCTGTGTTCCTGCTTTTGAGGGAGGAGGAAACTGGGGGTGGAGGAGGCCCAGCTGTTCTCTCCTTCTGCTGTGGGGGGTGAGGGGGTTGACTGGTGGTGAGCAGGGGGCGGGGATGTGGCTGATACCCTATGTGTCTCTTCCGAATCGTGATGGGCCAAGTCGAAAGGCAGCTTGTGGGTAAACTGAGGCACCGCGGATGGACACAGGATGGAGGAGGCCTTGAGGGTGGGGCAGGGGTGCACCCTGTAATAGGAGGGACATCGCAGCGGCTGACACTTGGAGCTGCAGCTTCCTTTACCCATCCCTGCAAGGCCTCAGGGCTGGGGCGATGCCCAGACCCCTGGGAAAGGGCCTCCACCCATCCAGGGAAGGCAGCCTCAGCTCCTCCTGGAAGCAGGCCTGGGGGAAGCACCCAGCTCCCACCCCCAACATTAGCCGGATTAGAGGGCAGCGCTGGGCGGAAGAGATAAGCATTGAGAGGGAGGAAGGAGCCAGGTCCCCAGCCCCGCCCAAGGGTCCAGGGAGAGCACGAAACAGGGCACGGAGAGCGCAAACTCCCGGTCACATCGCGAAATGGCGGCTTGGACTGTGCCTGACACATAGTAGGCCCTCAAAAGCAAAAATGGTTTTTTGAATAAACACCCACAGGGTTGGGATTCGAACCCTGCGTTGCTTCTGCATCGCAGACTGAAACAGATGGAGCCGAAGTCCTTTATAAAAACTTCATTGGGGAAGGGGGGTAGAAAATGGGGGGTGACGCCCCTGGAATTGAATTAAATAAATAAATAAATAAATAAATAAATAAATAGAACAATAAATAAGCCCCCGTGTGAGTCTGGGGGGCGTCCCCCGGCCCGCGGGGAGAGGGGAGCAGGCTCACGCTGACGTCAGCTGGATGGCAAAGACCTCGCCCCCCGCCGGCGCCTCTGCGGTGCCCACAGCCTCAGTCTCACCTTCGGCGCCCCCGCCCCCGCCGGCGCCGGCACCCGCGCCGTTGAGACACACGGCCTCACCCGAGCTCTCGGCCTCCTGCACATTATATTCGCCCTTCTTGCAGGCGGTGGACTGCACGTAGAAGGCCAGGCCGGCCCCCGCGGCCAGCAGCGCCGCGCCCCCAGCCGCGCCGCTCACAGCGACCCATAGCCACGGACCTGCGGGGTGCGGACGCTCAAAGAAGGTGGTCGAGCTCCCCCCACCCATCCCACACACCAAGCCCGGGCCACTTCTGCCCCTCCCCACAGGCATGAGGTCAGTTCTCACGCGCCTGGCAGGGAGCTCCAGGGAACCCAGCCTTGGAGGAAAGGAGAGACCCCAGTAAGGCCACCCCCAGCTCGGGTGAGGCCCTAGACCCATTTTATGGGCCACCCCATCACAGGGAGGATTTAAGCCCCTAGCCCCAGAGATACCCAGGAAGTCAAGCAACTCTCCTCACCCTCAAAAGGATGGTGGGGCGGGGGGGAACCCAGTCATTCCTCCACCCCAGAAAGACCCCAGCCCCAGAGCTACGCGAAGCGGCAGCAGGATCCTGCTGGGCCTCCACCACTGCCCTCTGCCTCTGTCCCTCTCTAGACCCCCTTCTCCACAGCCGCACGCTGGAAGGTGAACTGGATCAAGCCTTCACCACGCAGAACCCACCCAAAGTTAAGTCCCTCCTCACAGCAGTCACAGCCCCGAAGGTTCCCTTCCCTTGGGCTCGTCAGCTCCCTCTCCTTCCACTTGCCACCCCCACTGCGCCATCAAAGCCCCACCCGCCAGGGCGCCCCTAATTTCCACCCCGGCTCACTTCTGTCTCATCTGTGGGGACTGAGAGGGAGGCAGGGACGGGGTCAAGAGTCCCAAGGCGCGGGTCACAGCCCCCTGTAGATCCCTCGCCCAGGCCCCCCCCCCACCAGCTGCTACTTACCAGCCACGCGCACGGTGATGCGCCGGGTGTGGCGCCCATGCGCGTTGGTGGCTGCGCACTCATACTCGCCGCCGTGGCTGCCCATAGCGCCCGCCACGCTCAGCGTGCTGTTGTTGCTTGACAGGCCGATGTTGAGCGCCCCCGGGGGCGCACGCCAGCTGATCTGGGCTGGGGGCCAAGCCTCCGCTCGGCAGGTCAGCGTGAAGTTCCCGCCTGGCCGCACGCCTCCTGGAGGCGAGGCAGCCAGCTCGGCCACGACGGGGCGGTCTACAGGGGACAGGAGGTTGAAGGGGCCAGCCGCTGACCGAGAGCCCCCTTCTGAGACTGTCCCTCCTGAGATGAGCAGGCAAAGATCCTGCCTCACTTCAGAGCCCCATCCCCCTACAACTGGACTGCTGTCGGGACTAAAATCCTGAGCCCTGCTTCACTGAATGGAAGGAGGTGGGGACCCACGCCAGGGCCCTTCAGACCCAGAACTTGAGGGGGCGGGGGCGGGCTCGGGCTCTTGTTCCCTAGAGTTTTCATTACCCTTAACATTTCATGTTAAGGCCAGGATTCCTTGTCCCCAGAAATGGGACTGGGGAGGTGTCCTTGAACTCCCCCGGGGAATCCCACCTCTTTTAGTCACTGTGCCCGAGACCGGATGCCCTCTATCTGGTGCTGCCCGCAACTCACACTCCACGCCCACGGTGACGATCCGGGCGTCAGTGCCGTGCGCGTTGGTGGCCAGGCAGCGGTAGATGCCTGCATCCTGTCGGGACACGCGCAGCCGCTGCGGCCGGGGCGCGCCCTCCCGGGAGCAAAGCACTTGTGGGGAGGGGCGACCCCGGGCGGAGCAGGCCAGCGCAGCAGCGTCGGCGCCTTCCAGCCACGTCTGGTGACTCGGGCAGGTAGATTCATCCATTTGCGGTGGCGCTGCAAAACAGCCATGGGGTGGGGGCGGGGAGGCTCGTTGTTCAGGGAGAAGCCGGGACCTGGAACACCCCCTACTCCCCGCCCGCCTGGGCCTCGCTCACACTCCGCGCTCACGGTGACCATCTTGACCACGGAACCGTGCTGATTGGTGGCGTTGCAGATGTAGGTTCCGGGTGCCAGTTCTCTAGGGATTTGAGGGGCTCTGGGACCAGGGTCTGGGGGTGCCAGCGGCAGCAGCGCCCCCTCACTGGTGCCTCCGGAGCCAACGCACTCCACGCTCGGCTCTGGCTTCCCATCCACCTCACAGGAAAACAGTTGCCCAGATCCTTCCACCCACGTCCAATTGCTAGGGCAGCTCACCTCCTCAAAACTGGGGCCATCTGGGGGGCAGAGGGACTGGAAGTCAGGACAGGGTGATTCCGACGTACCCCGTCCTGCCCTGTGTTGCCCCCACTCACATTCCACCGTGACGGCTACATTTTTGGCTGCAGACCCTCGAGCATTAGTGGCTTCGCAGCGGTAGGTGCCCGCGTGCTCCCGGACCACACGCAGTGTGCCCTCGACGACCCTGGCTTCCCCAGAGCGCACACAGTTCACGTTGGGTGGCGGGACCCCATGGGCCACACAGCTCAGGGAGGCCTCTGTTCCTTCCAGCCAGGTAATGCGTTCAGGGCAGCCCACACTGTCCAGCGCTGGTGCATCTAGAGAGGAGGGTGTTGTTGAGTTTTGGGGTTTAGGGACAGGTCTAATGTCCCTAGACCCTTTTTCCCATCCCAGACGGGTAGGCTACGCTCTGCACAGGGACACCAAAGCAAAGGAGTTTCTCTCCAGTCAAGCCGTGCACTGTTTTGGGACTTCCTGAGCTCTGAAGTGGGCTTTTTTCCTGATGCCTACAAAGTGCCCACAGGACCCTCCCCAGTCTTTAGCTTAAAAATTGTTAGCCGGTTTGGAGCACCCACGTTTCCAAGACTCAGCTCAAACGCCAGGCCCCAGGCCCCTGTGGACACGTCCACCCCCTCCCCTCCATCCTTCTCTAAGATCTTCCCCTAATCCGGCTCACCAGCCTCTTGCCTTTTTCAGAATCCTGCTCAAAGGCACGCCTCAGACCCTGTTTCCACCTTCCTCTGTAGTCAGGCCACCCCTAGACACTGAGAACCAGACAGAGGTGCGCCCTATGCACCTCCACTCACACTCCACCGTCAGAGTCACGTCCTTGACCGCCTGGCCCTGGACGTTGGTCGCGGTGCAGTGGTAAGTTCCAGCGAGCGCGCGAGTGACCGGACCCAGCAGGCCCAGGGCCAGCACCGCCCCGCCGTCGGGCCGCGCACAGTGCACCGAGGGCTCTGGGTTTCCACGGGCCTCGCAGCGCAGCGTCTGCTCTGGTCCCTCCGGCCACGTCCAGCTCCTGGGACAGCCCGAATCGTCCAGCCGGGGGGCGTCTGCGGGCAGAGCCATGGGATACAAGAGGCTAGACGTGGACCGTGGGGAAATCCTCCACTTCCATGACACGGCCAGAGACCAGGCAGGCGGAGGTAGGCGAGAGGTTAAAGGCCAACTCACATAGGACGCGCAGCTCGGCGCTCTCGTTCTTTCTCAGGGTCTCCCCGTCAACTTCGAGGGTGGCGTCGCAGAAGAAGCCACGCCTGTCGTCGTTCTCGGTGGCGTTCAGCTGGAGCTGGGCGGGCTGTCCCGGGACCGCGGCTGGAATTCCGTCTAGTGTGACTAGGGCTCGGGCCCCGGCTGCGCAGGTTACTGTCACCATCTTCCCCTCGGGGGCGTTGGGCTCGCTCAGGGTCAGGAGGGGTTCCGGGAAGCCTGGGGACGGGGCATTGGTCGGGAGACCACTGACCATGCCCCTCCTGCGGTTCAAGGCTGCCCCTTATCAGCCCGAACCTTCCCCGCTTCAGCCAAACCGTGGGTACCGTGCCCTGCCCCTCGGGCTGTTCAGGCTCCTCTCCCTTCTCGCCCCGCCGCTTTGAGGTGGTCAGGCCACATCTCTAGGGATCCTCGTCGGGTCTGCGACCTTCCCCTTTGGGCAGCTCAGACTCCGCTTCTCCAGCTACTATTGAGTCTTCCATCTGCCCCGCCCCTTCGGGACTCTCGGGCCACGCCTATTCCGATACCCGGGCCCCACCCACTATTTGCCCCGCCTTCGCCTTCCTCTGGCTCCACCCCCGAGCCGCCGAGGCCCCACTCCCTCTTACTGTAGACAGTCACGTTCTCTTGGGTCTCTCGACTCTCGCCCCCCAGGGTCACGTTGCAGACCAGCTGCCTGGCGCCCTCCTGCTCTGCGCTAGCTGTGGCTGTGGCAGTGGCCATGAGAGCGTCCCCCTCGAGGGTGACATCGGGACTCAGCCTCTGGTCCCCCAGCGCCAGGTAGACCTCAGCCTCCGAGGCTGGAAACAGCCCGTCCATGGCGCAGCTTACGGGTCCTTCTGAGCCCACTTCCAAGAGCCGGGGGGCAGCGAGGCGAGGGGGTTCCGGAGGCAGGGCTGGGAGTAGAAGAACAGAGCTTGAACTTATGTATTGAACGCTCAATATGTTCTAAGCGCTTTACAGGCACTCTATTATGGTATTATCCTCAAGGCACAGAGGGGAAAATAACTTTCAGCTGGTGAGTGTTAGGGTAAGAATTAGAATTCAGATTTCTCTGCCTCCAAGCTTCTTAGACATCGGCCCGACCCCCCTGGGTCCCCTCCTCACACCCACTCACCGAAGGTTCGGAGCTCTCTGGGGGCTGAGCTGTTTTCAAACAGCCCCAGGCCATGCGGCCGAAGGTCCAGCTCCGCACGGCACGAGAAATTGGCCCCATGGTCCTCCCTCCGAGCAAGTACCGTGGCTGTGAGCACCGCACCCCGCGCTCGGGGTGGCTCCCCGGAGAAGCTGCGGCGGATCAGCTCCCGGGCGCCCCGCAACAGGGTCAATGTGAGACTCCCACGAGGCCCAGCGCCGGGGACCCTACAGCTCAGGGTGAAGTTCTCGCCCACTGGCTGCCAGGCAGGCAGCGGCACCAGTTCTACACGATCCGGCCGTTCTGCAACGGGGGAACCACGGTTGTTGGAAATGCCAGGCTCAGCACGACGTGGCTTGGAACCCAGGGGCCAAGGGGGGGAGGGCGTGCTGATCCAGAGGGTGGGGCCTGTAGGAGAGGACCCCGTTACCCAGGGGGCGGGGCCTGGAAGGGAGGGAAAGTAGCTTGGCCTCTGAGAACTCACGAAAAGTGCGAATGAGCCCGCGAGCCTGCAGTGTGCGTCGCGCGCAGCGGAAGAAGCAGACGGGCTGGGTCTCCGGCTCTCGGATGTCCACCAACTGCCGCGCCAGCCAGCGCAAACCCCTCTGGGTCCCATTCCGGCGCAGCGAGGTCTCCAGGCCACCGCGCTCGGGCCGTGGGCAGTTGGTGCTGCAATTCAGCCACAGCGATCCCCCGCGCTCCACGAGCGCCACGCGGGGCTGTAGGTCCGCCCAGAAAGGCTCTTGCGCGACCACTGCCCGGAGAAACGCGAGCTCAGCCTGGGAGCCACCTCCCTGGGATCTAAGAGCCCCTATGCAGACTCAGGATTCCCAGGGAATGAGCAGAGGCCACAGCCAGGAGTCCCAAGTCCTGCCCAGGTCTCAGGTTTACAAGCGCGCTCCCACGGTCCAGACCTCGAGGGTGTCTCTGGTACATTGCAGCGGAGAGCCCTTCTCTCCAAGGTGCGGATGGAGTGACGGGGAAGAATGGGGGGGAGGGGAGAGATGAGAGGAAACATGGGGTTTTCAACGCACACAGCAATGCTGGGAAGAGGGGACCCCCGGGTGGGGGAAGGGAAGCGGACTGGTTCTCACGGTTCTCGCCAGGAGAAGGGGAGACTGGTTGAAGCGAGGGCAAAAGAGAGATGAGGCTGAGTCAAGCGAGGTTAAGGGAGGAGTCCAAACCCGGGTGAAGAGTACGGAAAGAGGACGCGAGGCTGGGCTCATGAAAGGAACCGCGGGAACAGCCGATGGGCTCTGTTGCCAGGGCTCCGGGTGGAGCGGGAACAGTGCCTCGGAGTCACGGCAGTTGGTGAGATTTGGGTCTTCGTGGATTTCGAGTGGTGAAGATGCCAGTCCGTGGACCATGGTGCATAGGAGAGCGTGAGGAGGTACCCCGGGAGGGGACAGGGGAGATAATGGAGTCTCCAGAGCTCGAGGCTGGGTGCAGAAGAGCACCCAGGATCTCGAAGAAGGTAGGGTAGAGACCTGAGTGAGCGAGGAGTCCGGAAGCTTGGTGTCCAGTGTGTGTTGGGGGGGAAGAGGGATAGAGAAGAAGGCCCTGGGCTCAAGGTGGGTGCAGAAGCGTGGGAGCGAGGCGAGGGAGGAGCGGGGAGGGGCTTGTGGCCGCTTCGCAGGTCCAGAAACTACGACCCCGCCCCGTCCACCCTGAGCCGGACCGGCTCTTACCTGAGAGACCGAAGAGCCCCAGGCCCAGGGCAGCCCAGAGGCCGAGCAGCGCCCGGTGCAGCCCTGGCGAGGGTCCTGGCATCGCCGCCGCGGGGGAAGCGCAGGAGGCGAGGGGAGCGCGAGCGCTGAGCTGGGCTAGAGGACTGCGCGGCGCGGCGGGTGGGGTGTGGAGGAGGCTGAGTTGCGCTTGGGGATTGGTTTAACGTTGGTAACTTGGTTTCCAAGGAGGGGGCGGCAGCAGAGGCGGCGCGGGGAGGGCGGGAAGGCGAGCGTGCACCAGGCTACCGGCCTTGATGAAGGCGTGCTGGCAGGAGCGAGCGGCCCCCAGGGTCTACATGGAGGCCGGCCCCATTGCCCGGAGACTTCTGGGGGCGGCTGCGCACTCCAGCGTTGTCCCCGGCGGCGACGCTGAGGTGGTGGGGATGCAGGGTTGCCCTTCTCAAACCCCCACCCCACCCTTTGCTTAGATGCTATGATAATGAGCTGGACTCCGAGCTCCGCCTCCACATTTAGCCCCTCCCACCAGCCCCCCCTTGGAGCGGAGATGGGTTGGGGGCTAGGAGAGATTTGAGACGTGCAGGCTGGGGATGAGAAGGCTCTAGGGGAGGATGTGGGGATGCCTCCCTCACTGATCCTTCCCCTTTTAACCCCTGGGAGCTGAGGGTTACAGCTACGCCTCTAGTCTTTCTCTGGCTCCGCCCCCGCACGCGACAGAAGGGGCGGGGACGAAAGTGACAGCGAGTTGGGAACGCGTGTGCTTGCGCGCAGCGTTCTCGGGCGTCTAAATTAGGGTCGGCTCGGCTCTGGGTCTGTATTTACCCAGCGTGCAGCGGGCACGTGTCTACGCGACTTGTGTGAGCAGGAGCCGCCAAAGAGCGCCTCTGAATCCGCTTTCTGCTCGGCGGGCGGGGCCCTGGACCACGCGGGCCTTGCCAGGCATCCACTGCAGGCCCCGATTCTGCGTCCACGCGAGACCAAGAGACCAACTGTGATACTTTTGACTCCGCATCTGGGTTCCAGGTTTGGACACCCTCCATGTGCTCACCAGGCCCGGTGACTAACAGGACGTTTCCAGGATGCGAATCTGTGACATACAACACCGCCCCCCCCCCCACCTCACCATCTGGTTGCTCCTTCCCCGCAGTCAACACATGGGTATCTTTTCTGCGTATCCACGTTCCTCACAAAGTACATTTGACCCAGCCCACCTGTGTTGTCACTCCCAGAGCTAATGGTGAACTATGGGGATCAGTTCTCTCCCCACCCCTGCCCTCCAGGAAAGTGCAGGGTCTAAAGGGCGGGGGCGGGGGTAGGAAAGTTAACATCCAATCAGAGCTGCTGCGTGGCAGCGCTGGAGCCAATCAGGAGAAGCCATACCATGAACCAGCCTTCCCACAGCCTAAAGCCCCCCTGGGCCCATGCCTTGCGCCTCTGCACCGCACTGATAATGCGCGCGGGAGAGGTTTTTACTACATCGGCTGGGAATGCAGAGGGAATGGGGCTCCGGCATGGGAGACCAGAGTGAAAAACCTCAGGTGCCCTCAGGGAGACAGGAATTTGGAGAAAATGATAGAGGCAAGGCCAAAAAGAAGACCACTTCAGTCAGAGGAGGTGCACTAATGGGGGACCTTTATGCCCAGGGGCAGAAGCTGGCTGAGGAAGGCTTTATTGATCCAGGCAAGGTTCCCCCAAATGTCCCAGATTCCTTTTTCCTCCAGCTCAGCCAGCATGGACCACTCACTGCCTCTATGCCCGAGACTTCATCGATAGGTACTTTCTCAGGCAGAGGGCCCCCACTACAAGAAGGATCCCCACAAGGGCTGCGATGGAGGTGGAGGCCAAGGCTTTGGACGCAGGGCTCCAAGCTGGAGACAAGAGGGGAGAATTAGGAACAGAGCACTTGGAGGTGTGACAACCCGCATGGACACGCTCTGGCTTGGCCCACATAACCCTTCCCCACTCTTCCCAGGGTTATAAGGGTGCCTCACCGAGGACTGGCAGCGTCATGGGTGCCGAGCTACTGAGGACCACCAGGCCATCGAGATCGAGGCGGGCGTAGCAGGTAACGGGCTGCCCGAAGTCACTGGGCCTGGCGCGTAACGCGTAAGTCAGCGTCACGTTGGCCAGATCCCGGCCGGTGAAGCGCTCCAGGCTCTCGGAGTAGATGACCCGGCCACCGCGCCTCAGAATCACCACCAGGAAGCCCACGGGGAACACGTGTGTCACATGGCAGCGCAGAGTGTACTCACTGCCCATTAAGACCGGAGGCTCCAGGATCACGCTGCGTGGCTGTTCTAAAGCAAGAGGGGGCCGCTGGGCAAGGTCCGAGGGCTCCCCCTAGCGCGACTGTCCGTTACCCCCGCTCCGTCCTCCTCCCCGCACCCCAGCCAGGCCTGAGCCCCTGTCCCTCACTGTAGGCGGTAATCCTGGCGGTGGCCCCCCGCGTTTCTCCCGCGCAGGTGACGAAGCAGTGCACATCGGAGCTCCAGGCCCTCACATCCAGCAGCTGGTAGGATACCCAACCGGGCCCACTGAGCGTGTCGCCTCGCCGCAGCTCGGTGCGGAGGCTGGAACCCTCCGGTAGGGGGCAGCTGCTGCTGCAGTTGAGCCACACTGAGCCCCCCGGCGGCACGGCCTTGAACTCGGGGCTTATGCGCACCCAGAAGGGTGCTGAGGTCTCCGGGGGCGCGGGAGAGGGGCCTCCCGGGCCTTGCGTCCGCGCACTCCGGCGCCTCCACGCGCTCCCGCCTCGCGGGTAGGAGGGCGACAGCAAAAGCAGCAACAAGAGGAGGAGCAGAGACCCCATGGCAAAAAGCCCGGACTGAGGGGCCCCGCGCCAGGGAGCCAAGGCTGGCTCCGGAGATAAGGAGGCCCGCAGCACCGCCTCTTCAGCCCCACCCCGGGGAGAGAGAAACAGAGGCTCCGGGGGGCCCCGGAGCCCTGCGGTATACACCCCACTCCCACAGCTTAAGAATGGGATTCTCCACCCCATTCTAAACCAAATGTCATCGTGTTTTTCTGGAGAGGGATCTTTAATTTTCACTAAAGTCTCAAAAGGCCCTAATAAACCCCAGATTTGGATTAGAGCCTGAGGGCTGGACCTTGAACTGGCAGCCTTCTCTTGGGGCAGGAAGTGGGAGGACAGGCCAGAAAAGGCTCCAGCTGGACATGACACCTCCCCTCAACTCACACAACGCTGGAAGGATGAAATAGCTTTATTAGCACAAGGGAGAGGCTTCCGCAGTTGGGAGGGGGGTTCTCCCAGGCCTCTCCTCCCCACGGCCTGCAGAACCTTCATCGCTGCAGGAATTTGGACCCGCAGACTGTTCTGTTCTTGCATGGCCCCACTGAGATGGAAACAGGTAGGACAAGACAGGGACACACAGGGGTTGGGCACAGTTTCCTGGGACTCCATGGTTTAGCTATCAAGGAGTGAACACCCACGTTTAGGCATGCCACCAAGTGTCATTGTGAGCACTAGCAGACATGGGTATAGGTGGAGAGGTGGGTTATCAGAGGTCAGTGCCAGTGCTGGGGTGTAAGGGCTCAGTGGGTCATCTCTGGGCATGTCACCAGCTATACCTTGTCACCGTTACTAATCCCTTTCTGGGAGAAAGCAGCTTGGCCAGTGGAGTGGGAAATTCTAGCCCCACTTAATCTTTTTGCCAGGCACTCTTGTGCAGTGCACAACCAGTACAACTGTAGCTGGCGATGTGCATGAGATTAGACTGAGAGCTCCCTGAGGGCGGGAATCAATGTTCTTCTTGTTTACCATTCTAGCCCACATAAAAGGCACTCAATAAATAGCTAGTAAGAGAACAAATGAATAAATAGGTCATCATCAAGAGTTGGGAACAGTCTGTGGACAGCAATGCTGGAGCTGGCTTCTGTCAGAGGACGTGTGGGGATTTGTGTTTCAGTGCTGCATGTGTCTGTGCAGGGCCACTTCTCTCTTAGGACCGTAAGGCCTCAGCACACGCAGGAGGGGGTGAGTTTCAATGTTTCCCAGTTGGGTGTCCCCATGCTGGAGGTCAGGGTCTCCATCATACACCCTCCGGCCAGGTCAGACTTCGACATCCCTCACATTGATGCCCTGAGCCTTGGCCCCTTCTTTTGTCTCAGTCCTGTGGCTCCACATCAGGTGTGAGGCCTGGGGGTTATAAGTGTGCAGGGGCCATGACCCCAGATGCTGTCTGTATCCTGACTGAGGCCTCTCTCCTGTCCTCTGGCACCCTGGGAAGGTGGGTATAGCTGAATGGCATATGTCCACCATTGTTTGATGCAGCCCTGCTTGTCACGGTTTGGGGGCTGAGGAGGTCCTGTCCGGAGGGGGTAGGCTCAGGGCGGCGTGGCTGGTGTGGTCAGTTTCATGGCAGCCTCTTCCTGGGCCTTCCGGGTCTTCTGTAGCTCATATTTCTGGATCTTCCTCTGGCAGTTATAGATGTAAACGGCTGCGGCCAGAGTGCCCAAGATGATCACAGATGCCACCGGAATGACGATGGCCATGTTATTCTGGTGGTCTGTGGAAAGGACACACACAGGGGGCGGTGAGGGTTGAGCTGCCCTCACTGCCCCTGCCCTGCCCAGCCCTGAACTCCAGCACTTACAGATCACATTGACGACAACTTCACGGGTAACCTCACCACGAGTGCTGGTGGCCCGACACTGGTAGGTGCCTGCCACCTCCCGCTTGACGGGTCTCAGGTCCCCAATGGGTAGCAAAGCCCCATCCTCTTTCCGGCTACAGTTCAGCTTGGGGGTTGGGTTCCCCCAGGCCTGGCACCTCAGGGTCTGCTGGGAGCCTTCCTGCCATGTCCAGTTTCCCAGGCAATCCCTCTCGTTTAGTCGGGGGCCATCTGAAGAAACACAGCAAGATAAGGGACGGGGTCAGGGACCAGGACATCACTCACCATCTAGGTCTAGGTAAGAAGACTTAAGTAGGAATCTGGGGAAGGGGCTCACTAGGGTGGGGGTGGGAGTGGGTGGAGGCAGGAGTTCTCGGGGTCTTAGGGGTTGGGCCTTGGAGGTAAGGGATCATTGTCTAGCAGCCCCACTCACACAGGACACGGAGCTCCCGGGTCTGGTTCTTGTGTACCACCTGCTCAGCCACCGCCAGGGCAGCAGAGCAGAAGAAGCTGCGCCCGTTGTCCTCGGCGCTGGCATTCAGCTGCAACTGGGCCCTCGGGCCCGGAGGCCTGGCTGGGGCCCCGTTCAGCATCACCACAGCTCCAACCTGGGCCTCGCACTCCACGTTCACTGTAGTCCATTCCGAGACCTCGGGCTGGCTCAGGGTCAGGTTGGGAGCTGGGAAGCCTGGAGGTGGGGCGCACAGTGAGCCCCGCCCCTGGCA